GGAGCGTGTCCAAAGTGGCTGCTCTGTCTGTGGCGAGCTCCAATGGCTGCTATCTTTGCACTTTATCTGCAAGTGACTGAAAGATACATTGACCTCAGTAACAAACTTGGCTGCTGGAGCGCAGAGCCTACACAACCCAACAAATTTAACACTGACCGACAGACGTGTGTGAGCGTAACACGTATCCATGCAAAATGTAATTAGCATTCTGTTGATTTATCTGCTTCAGACATGAGGCTAGAATTTTAAAAAGATAAACTGGTTCCAGTCTGGAGCCAAAGATTGTCACAATAATATAAACCGCACTCATCTAAGAGATTATGAGCAAATGCTACTGGATGTTTTCAGCAGAATCTGAAAATAAATAAATAAATGAATCCATCGCATCTTTTTTTTAAATACGTTGTCTAAAATGTGAACTTTCTCAATGACTTAGATTTCTTCTGATTTCTCCGGGTAGTTCTTAAAAATGTTGAGCTTTGCCAAGCGCTGCTACATCTGTGGGCTGTTTGCTGCAAAAACACACAAATATGAAGTATTTAACTTCTCCATTTTGGTGCAAATCACTTATTACACCTGAAATAAGTGTAACATTTACACTTACAAGTAAGCTGGCTTACAAGTAATTGTTCAGGAAGATATAAGAACCTGTTTTAAGTAAATCATTCTTTAGTACTGGTTTTTGAAGGGTAACAGTTCCACTGGCAGATTGCTTCACTTATAACTGGACAGGTGAAACAACCAGTAAAACCAGCACGTTTTAATCAATATCAAGAAATTACTGACTTCAAACGAGCTCGTAAATGTTGCTGAAAAGTTACTTGCAGGTTAGTTTTGTTTTCATTCGTGACGTTCAGATATTTGCACTAGAAACTACAGACAAAAGTACTTGGTAAGACTCTGTGTGCTTTGCAGTGCGGATGCCGAATCCATCGCGCTGCCTTAAATCTAAAGCGGCCCGTTTCTGCTCATTGTTCGGGCCCTGTTGATGTTGTGAAGAGCCCTGAGAGGACATTTGTTGTCAACTCACACAATAAACTCAGACTTCCCTCTTCTCAGTGGCGCTGCACCAGAGGTTCGGCTGCGACCTCCAGCGCTCTGAACTGTCCATAACTGTCTGCACCGAGCACAGAGTTCAGCTCTGAGCTCTGAGGTCACCTGTACTGTGTGTGTGTAAGGTTGGAAATGTTGGACCCGTCTCCACCGAGTGCTCAGGAGTGTCAGCTGCCAGCTGCCAAAATGACAGAAGGCCTTCAGGTTTTTGTGTCACCGTTTCAAGAAATGAAAAGGTCAAACATGGATAACAATCGGTTGGCAACACAGATCATCCTGGTTACGTTAAATGGGAGTGAGCAAAGATTTAACCTACAGAAAGAGCAGTTCTTTTCTGTTTTTCTTTTTTTGTTTTGGGGGGGCGGGGGCAGATTTTATTTTATTTATTTAAGCAGAAATAACAGGAAGTTAGGCAATAACTTTTGGGACCTCTGCTCAAAAGGCAGGACTACTTCAGCTAAATAAAAAACAGCAATCCAACAAATTACCCACATAAGAGTGTAATAATTTTGGGGGGGAAGTGGCACTCAAGCACTGACTAAAAGTTTGATTGTAACATCTGATGATATTTTTTAAAATGATATAATCAGACACACAACAGTATCATGTTGCATGCTCACTCTGGCACTTTTAAAAGATAAAGTAAAATGAAGAAATCTGAAAAAATAAGTTGTATTGAGACTGAAGACAGACGTGGGCGCAGGTATCCTGTTAACTTGGTTAGTTTCCATGCAAGACTCATGCACTCATATCCAGCTTTGTTCAGTTCCTGCTGTAGACTGAAGAAAGAAAATAGTAAACATGAAATGATCTTTAGAAAATGAGTAATGTTTTGCTTTTCTTTTGCGAAAGGCAAATGTTTTCCAGACAAAATTGTCAGTTAAATCTTTTTCTATGTTTTGGTTTAAAAAAAAAACTAAAAAAAACTATTTGCATATTTAGTTTTTTGTTCAGCATCTACAAATAAAAGAAATCACAACAACATTATTTTTATGTTTTTATTTTAAATAAGAATCCAATTTTGTCTTTCTTTCTGTCTGACTGATCTGAAGGTGTTTAGTTTTAGTTTCATTTGTGATTATTACTTCTGTTATTATTATTTTAGATGTTCCATTTTAGTTTATTCCCTGCTGATAGATTAGAATTAGATTATTCTGTCCTTGGTTCTTGCTCAGATTTGTTATTTTTCATTCATTGTTCACATCATTTTCAGCTCCCTTCCTTTAGTTTCCTCCACTGTTTTTGTCTCTCACCTCGACCTCAACCTGCTATTTGCAGCTGCTTCCGATTCCCTTGTTTTGTCTCCACCTGCTTCTTTCTCCAGCTTCATCTACTCACCTCTAATTAGCTCTTCTGATTCTCCACTCCCTTCTCAGTGTGCATATTCCTCTTTCTGCTACATTTCACTCGTGATTTCTTTTAGTTGTTACATTAAGTATTTGTATTTGTCAATGAAAAAAACTTTCATTAAATTAAATGAAATATTTTCCTTTCAGCGTGGATTATTCTGATAGGGATAAAGAGTGGAATCACTTTCACTGTGAGCCAAAAGCAGCCAGTTGTTGTGATCAGCACACATTAATCTTACGTTAGCATGGCTGTTGAACAAAGCAGCTGTTGTTCCATGAGCTACACCGAACCACATCTGTCTGCTGACGAAACCGGGAGAACACGATGCGTCGCCCACTCACCAGACGGAACATGATGCAGGTGGACAGATCACTGATCTGTCAGACTTTTGGGCATCAGCCAGCCGACGGGGAGAAGCATGGTTCCAAGGCAGAAAACCCAACATCTTGTTTTAAATCAGAGCTGTGTGGGGAAAATCTGGACGCTTAATTTCAGCCAAAATTAGCAGCTCAGCTCAAGCGTGACTGATATAGACCCTAGCAGGTGACCCCACACATAAAAACAACAGCTCAGTCATGGGTCACTACAGCTCTCTGTAATCCTCCCCCCTGTTCCTCCATTAAGCCAGAGGATGTCCTGTCGTCTTGTTTGTCCTTGACCGGAACTGCTGACTGGACTGGTGAGACCGCTCTGGATGTCACTGTTACAATGTGTACACAGGAGTGAAAAGCTAAAGGTCAGCTGACACTCTTTTAGAGGAGAGGTACAAAGAGTTGGTAAAGTAATCGTGCCTCTTGATAATTTTGTGTTTTTTACAGATTGTCTCAATGTATTTTGTTGTGAAAGAACACAAAGTAGTTAGCACCGCAATACATTAGATCTGCTATTGTTGTATCAACCTTGGTTCCAGATTTTTCAGGTCTTCTGGTTCTGGTTCTGCTCTGTATCCCCTGAACCAGAGCCAAACATGGAGAGGCAGCATTCAGCTTCTAAGCACCACAAATCTAGGAACCAACTTCCCAGAAAACTGCAAAACATCTGAAACACTGTTCCTTTAAGTCAAGATAAAAAAATAAAATAAAAAAAAAGCAGTTTGGAGTTGCTTTCGATTCATAATTACCGGAACACTGATCAGGATATTTGATGATGATTATTCTTGATGATGGCATTTGACAAAGCACAAGGCTTATTGCTCATTCCATAAGCGACTGCATTATGTTTCTATCATGCAAAACACTTTGTACCGCCTTGGTGCTAAAATGTGGTGGGTAAGTAAACTTAACTTTGCTTAAACTTGAATTGAAACTGAATTGCTGCCAGTCGTTGGCTGCTAAAAGTTTTACTGTCTGCCCAGATCTCACACAGCCTGGCATCGGCCCACAACTGTTTGGACCTCCAGCTGTGTCCATGTCCTTGCATGTGTCAAAACGTGGGTCAAGAAGGGGTTAGCTTAGTTGGAGTTAGCTACAAATCACTTTCATTTCTGGTAGTTTAGTTTCATTTCTGAAAGCAGAAGCAGAATAACTAACTGGTTAGGTTTTTGTGATTAATTATTTTCACAATCAAATCTGATTGGATGACTAATAGACATCCTCTGGATGTGCAAAGCTGGATGACACAACGGAGACGGAAGTGGTTCTACAAAGTATTCATCACCAAAACAGTTCCATGTTTTTATTTGCAAAAATATTGAAAAAAAATCTTTCATTATGCAATGAGAGATTGCATAATGAGTGCATTTTATTATTTATCACATAAAATCTAAATAAAATGCACATTAAGGCTGTAAATGTATAGAAAAAGTATGTATGGGGGTGAATACTTTTGCAAAGAACTCAGTTTAGATGAGCTAATATGTGAGTTAAAGGGGCAGTATTATGAAAAATCAACTTTTTGAACTTTACATCATGTTATAATCATATTCCCTCATCAAAAACATTCCTTTAGTGTTGCTTTGATTCTTTGGTGCATGTTTGAGAAATCCTTTAATCTCCCATGGCACAACGTTCAGCTGTGCAAGACACCCGAGTGGAGCTAGCCCCGCCTTCAGGGTCGCAGCTCCTCCTCAGGGCTGCAGTTTAGCACCTCACAGAGAAGTGACTTCCCCTCACAGCTCCTTCAGACTAGTCAGTAGCAATTAGCAAACACCTGGTAGAACTGCACATCTGCTGAGCTCATTATACGAGCTGCTTCCCAGCTGGTAAAAACGTTGTTAAAAGGCTAATAGAGGAACCATGTTGTGATGACTTCCTGAAGGCGGAGCTTCAGAAGGAAGAGGAGTTTTTAAAGAGACAGCGGCCCAATTTCAAGGCGTTAAATTAGGAAGTAAAATTACTGTTCAGTCATATTTGATACACAAAGCATTTTTATGACAACTGAAGGTAACAAAGTTACTTGATTGTACTATGAAATGATACCATGTGTTTGAAAAGCACATAATACTGCCTGGGTATGTACCCCGAGCAGTTCTTTAAGCTTTTTAATGACCAAACGCTGAAGCCATTTACAGACACAGCCTGTATATAAGATGTACAGTGAGAACAATAAACTCATTACCCACCTTCAAATCTAATGAGTGATAAATATCCTTTCACACACGCATATGGGTGTTAGTGTGAGTCCAGGAACAATGACAAATAAAAGTTGCATTTCTTGCTTTTGTTTCTCTTCACATATTGCTTTCTGTGCCCCCCCATCGTCAGTGGCTGCATGCATTCAGAGCCTGCTGTCGGTGGACTTTTGCTCATTTGGTTCACAGCTGCCGTCCCTTCCGCCCTTCGCAGATCCTCCAGCCAGAGCGCATTTCAGGGGCTCTGCCGCCGCCGGCTTGGCGTCCGGCCCGGAGATCACGGTGGCCCTGCTGTAGCAGCTCCTCGGCCTCCTGTTGAAGCGCACAGTGAAGAGGCCGTAGATGATGGGGTCCAAGCAGGTGTTGAAAAGCCCGAAGATAAACAGGATGTGGGTGAGGGAGTGCGAGACTTTCCCCTCCAGGTCGTCGGGGAAGAACCAGTACCAGAGACCCAGCAGGTAGTACGGAGTCCAGCAGACGATGAAGGAGACCACGATGACGATGCTCATCTTCAGAGTTCTCATCCGAGCTTTTGGGATGTTGTTCTTTGAGCAGCGAAGACGCGGTTCATCAGAGGACACTAAAGGGAAAAAACAAGAGGTTGCAGTAAACTCAATGAATAATGGCTTCTCTTTTACCTTTTTATCATTACATTCATGATAGATTGTCCAATTAGATTGTTATAAAGTAAGAGTGCAGACTTTTAATATGAGGCTTGGCTAAAGCATCTTCTGATTTTCATTCAGCATTCAGGTTCCTTAAGTTAACACCTAAAACAGAGTATTATGGCCATAATGAGAACAAATAAAATAATAATGAATACATTTATGAGAATAAAGTAATAAAATTCATGTTAGTGAACCAGAAAAGATAAAAATATTAGACTTAGTAAACATGAGTGAAACAAAAATCTCTAACTATTTCTACATTGATATTCCATCTATGTCCTCTTTCTTGTCTTCATTTAGGACTAGGTCTCAGGAAGTGAACGCTGTTTGGTTTGCGTAGCTACCATTCTTCTTTGTCATCTGCTTGGAGATGTGGATGAAGATCCGGCTGTAGCAGATGATCATGATGGCCAGAGGCAGCAGGAAGAGCCAGGAGAAGGTGAACATGTTGTAGGCCGTTTCCTGCCAGTGAGTGACGAAGCTCCCCCTAGTGGTGCACTGAGTGAAGTTTGCTGGGTAGGTGATGGTCACGTTGTGGAAAATGAAGACCTGTGGAAGCAGGTGAGAATGAACGTGAGATTCCAACTTTGACAACGAGAGTATAATCAAGTCATTTCTTAGCTTGCACCTAAAATGTTATGTCTGCTCACTATTATTTCTGACAAAAATGTCTCTGGACAGAAAAAAAAATCTTTATTAGACCAAGAAGTTTAAATCTTTCCAAGTGAATTTGTACAAAACCTCAACATCGACATAGTTGGCAGACGATACTTTGTTCTTAAGTTTGAAAGCATAATTTTGAATCCATCAGATGTGCATATTTTCACGAGTCCAGCAGTCAAAAGTTACAATAGAAAAAAAAGAAACTTCCGTCACATTTAAATATATTTATATATACTATTACATATTATATCAGCCTGCATCTAAAATCTCTGATGCATTCCTCTCCAGCACTTAGTCCACCCCAGGATTTCTATCCTGCAGTGCTTGTATCCAGTAAGCAGACCAACTGGGTAATAATAAATGGCCCAGTTCTTCTCCTACCTTTTTGTTGTTTATTATTGTTCTCTGTTTCGGTAACATGACTTGATCAAGGCTTTTCTAACATTCTACACTTCAAAATAAGTCGTAAAATCATGTATGATTCATTCTGATATTGTTTTGGCTCAAAATCGGTATTGGCTAATTCTCAAAGCTGCAATATCGATATGGTATCAGAAGTAAAAACGTACTGGCAGACTGCACTGTAATTGCAGAAAATGTAGTTCAGTGCTTCAGCCGAGGGCAACTGGACACAAGCTTTTGATATTTGTCTTATCCTATAAACCTGCATTTCTCTGCAAAAGCACAAAGCCTCATGAATTCCTTTTGGTTTAGTTTCTAGTGCAAATATCTGAGTTCGCTTGAAATAAGACAACACCAACATACAAATAACTTTCAGCAAGAAACTTGTTTTAAGTCAACAATTCATTAATATTGATGAAAAAGTTCTAGTTACAAGTGAAATACTCTCCCAGTGGAACCAAAGATTCCCCTTAAATCACCTTCTTAAAAATAATGGCCCAAGTCATTTTCTGCCAAGTGATTTTTACAAAAATTAACCCCTTTTTATTGCCAGAAGATGATGTAGGCAAAAAATTACTGAGAAAAGATGACCTGGGCCATTATTTTAGGAAGGTGGCGATATTATGAGTTAAAAATATCTTGTTCAGGTGGCAGATTATTATTTCACTTAAAACTAGAAGATTTTCATGAATATTAAGGAATAACTGACTTGAGACCAGCTCCCATTTCTTGCTGCAAAGTTACCTGTAAGTTAGTTTTGACTTTTATCAAGTGAACTAAGATATTTGCACTAGAAACTAGATCAAAATGACTCAGGAACGCTTTGTGTTTTTGCAGTGTGATCTATGTTCTTCGATTCCATCGGCTGATCACTTCATGCTTCCTCACCTGAGGGACGGAGAGCAGAGCGCTCATTACCCACGCCACCGTCAGCATGACCCGGTTCCTCTTCGGAGCCATGCTGGTCTGCAGGGGGTCGAGGATCGCCGACTGCCTGTCCAGACTTATCACCACAGTGACAAAAGCGCAGGAGTACATGGCCTGCAGCTTGAGGAACATCAAGCACCTGCAGGCCAGGTCTCCGGCCAGCCACTGAACGGTGATGTTCCACGCGGCGTCCACGGGCATCACGATGAGGGTGACCAAGAGATCAGCCGCGGTCAAGTTCACGATCAGCACGCGCACGTGGGACCTGCGTCGGTGGCCCATGGCCGCCCAGAGCACTGCCACGTTGCAGAGGGTGGACACGCCACACAGGATGAAGGTGACGATCACTCTGACTTTCGCCGCCGTGGAAAACGTGGGCAGCTGCGGGGTCCCGTCCACGGCCGTCCAGGTGCAGCGGGGAGCCGAGAGGTCGCAGCTGGCGTTGAGGTCAGGTCCTGAGGCCTGCTGATACATGGCGACGGGGCCGGCGCAGCAGGACGAGGCGTTCATTTCCCGAGCCCTCAGCACGCAGTCAGCATTTTGCTCGGCGGCGCAGAGACTTGCCGAAGGGAAAGAGAGAAAACAGGACACAGTCATGTTCATAAAGTTTAAGGGGAAGATTTATCTGCATGGATTTGCATTTGCAAGAGGAGAAGTTAGAAATCAGCTGCGTGTGTGACACAGAGGCTGCCAGGGAGGGAGGAGCAGTCATCTGATGCTCACTGAGGTGGAAAGACACTCGGCTCTCACAAATCACATTAGGTGCATTTTCAGCACTTCCTGCAGCAACACCTGGAAACCAATCAAGACAAGTGAGCTGCACAGCACTGTCAGGAGGGAAAATGAGCTTAACAGGTTCAACAGAATCTCACTGCGCAGAAGGAACCTGCCAAGATTTTTGAGTGATTTCTAAATGCAGCTCCCATCACTACCACCTTAAGCCAGAACATGTTTAATGCATGGTACTTGTTTTTTTACAATTATGAAAGTAAGAAAGTAAAAGACTTGCTCTGAGCTTTGAAGAGTATTTAGTCATGAAGTTATCGAGTATTTATTCGAGTATTCAGCTGGTTTGATATTTCAGCTCATTCAGCAGATCTGTGGTCTAATTGCTTAAAAATATATATTTTTTTAATATTCATAGTAAACCTGTCAGGGGCAACACCAGCGCTCAGGAAGGACATTTCAAAAGGTCTCTGTCGTTTGTCGGTCTTGAAACAATTCAACCTGTTTTCTGTTGCTTATGTTCATCTACCATCCATAAGGACTGAGTCTGGTGTTGCTCAGAGAGTAAATGGTAAAAATATGGCTGGGGGAGGGTGCTTTATTTGGACACTTATCTTCATTAAAAGAAGATGGACCACATCTTCCACTGCAGTTTCAACATTACCAATATTTGTAGTTGTCTTTTTTTTTTTCTTTAAACCAAAAAACTGCAGTTTATCATCTGTTTATCACCTTTAATTGACAATCTGAAACTGGATAATTTCACACTGAACAGAGATTTAGTGTTCTTTTTTTTTAAACCACTAAATTTTACAGCCTTTTATGGCAACAGAGTTTGAGAAAAACAGGTAAACCTCAGTAAACAGGTCAAACCTGGGCAGAAATGTTCACTTTCATCACAGCATCTATGAAAACATTGTATTGTGCGCCAGCCGCTAAAGGTGTGAACTGAGTTATAGTCGAATAATATAGAGAAAGTAAATGAATGATAGAAACAATATTGATGTCAATCATACTCACATTAGCCCCCCAGGTGTTGGAAAACTGCAGGCAGACAAAACAAAATGAAATAAAATCCAGAGTAAACGATGCTCCAGACACGGCTGTGGATCCGTCCCGCGTGCTTCTTTCTGTTTAGTCTGTATATCCACAGAAAGTCCCAAGGTGTCCCCACGCAGATGTGTCCCTGCGCCAGAGACCAGAGAGGCAGCGTCCTTTACGTGCTTCCTTTCTCTCTCTCTCCCTCCGCCGGGCGCGCGCGTGTCAGAGGCTTGATTGGGGCGCGCGCACGAGCTTTTCCGCATCCCGCGCGACCGTCGGTCGGATCAATGGATGGAAACCCGAGCATAGCAGCGAAGTTTCTAATTTTAACCCCGCATTAAAACAGAAGGAAGAAAGAAAGAAAGAAAGAAAGAAGAAAGAATGAAGAAAAAGAAAGAAAGAAAGAAAGAAAGAAAGAAAGAGAGAGAGAAAGAAAGAAAGAGAGAGAGAAAGAAAGAAAGAGAGAAAGAAAAAGCTGTAATTGGTCTCCGCAGCCCATTAGCATCTCTGTCGTCGAGTTTAGACGGAACTGAACCGGGTCGTGACGAGGTAATGAGAGGAGGATTCAGATACTTGATACTTTTTGCTCTGAGTCTGAATTTTGATTTTTGTCAGGCCGAAAGACATTTGAACAATAATGGCCTCTATAGCCTTCAAACTGTTATTGCATTGGTTTTCCACTGCCTCCCCATCCAAACCGAAAGATGTTATTTCCAAGAAGACCCAATTCCACAGCACAAATAAATAAGAATACAAGCTGTAAGAAAACAGAAACAGTTTTCCATAATGTTTTTTCCTTTTCTTTACTTTTTAAGCTCCGTGATGGGTTGGCTTCCACTGTGCCCTCCATGCTATGAGTGGAAATATGAATCTTAGCTGGAGGCGTAATGTCGGCAGAGATTGCACTTCCTTTCTGTATCTGTGATTGTGCTGAGCTTCTTCCCACAGTCATGAAACGTTTATTTCACTGTGCACACACTACACCTTGATGCTTGTACTTAAGCACCAAGGTGCACTTTGTTTAACACTTGGGATGCAAAATTGTTCTTTTAGCTACAGGGTTGAAAACAAAAGTTCCAAAAGGAGCAAACTTTGGTCGAAGGTAGAGCTGGAGAAACAAAGCACTGTCCACTTGGAACACCCAATTGTTTCCACTTTTAACCGTCTGAACCAAATTATCACAGCGGATCAAAGGAAATTTGGTTGAATGTTTCAACAACAACCCAGGAAGTAGGAAGAGTTGAAGTGAAAGGTAGCAGAAAGCCAATGTCTTTAACGGTTCTGCGGTCAGATAGTCACAGTTCACACTTGAACCAAATAAGATGTTTTAACAGGACAGTAATGAGATTGATTGTTTATAGACGATTTGTTTAGAAGTCAAGTAAGTCAATAAGAAGAGTGGTCACCAATTGATTGCTGCAATCAATCGATGAAAGCCCAAAAGTTAGGTAACTTCTTGGTAAACTTTTGCAGAAATTCACAATGCAAGCACGTTCCACACGGTTCTTCCTTTCTTCCCCTCTTCTGTTTGTTTAACACATTAATTTCTATTTGCACCATTTTGTCCTGTGACTCAGCGCTGTCGAGCATCAAGGGAAGAGTTACATCCGGTCTCTTTGCATGAGAGCAGATTCACAATCGACAAAGAGATTCCGGTCCATTTAAATAGACAAAAATACTAAATTGTTACTCGTCTGCATGAGAGTCGGACAAAGTAATCAGACAGCAGTCTGATTCTGATCATTCAGATTGCTGAGTCATCAGATTTAGTGATTGAACCACACAAAATATTTTGTACATTTAGTGATTTTTTGGGGAGGAACAAAACAAAGATAATGAACTACTGACAGATCAGGATCCATTGAAATACAGAAAAAAACGTTTGTTTCTCTTTATCGTCTTATGGGGAAAAACAACAAAAAAACTGAATGTGACTCTCCTCCAAAGTCTCAGATCACAATGTGGGGAAAGTAACAGGAAAAAATCCCAAGAAGACAATTAGGAGAAAATGTAAACCGTCTCATGCATTTGGTGTGTTTCACTGAGCATTTCATTTTTAGCAATTAAAGAGATGAAACACAGCAGTATATTTAGCTGTGTGTGCTGGACACACCTGACAAATCCATTGTCTTTTGTTTTTTCTTCTTCTTTCCTGCGAGAGGCAGAAATAATGTGCTATCTCCAGCTGAGCGGAGGCACAAAAATAATGCGGCATGCATTTGCCAACTCCTGGGAGATTTAACTGAGACGACACAGTGTATTTTCCCATCGTACTGTAAGACTGATCCCACAGCATCCATTACAGTTTATATTTTCATGTTTCAACGTTGCAGTGGGGCTGCTGGGTGTGTGAGTCGGCGTTTCCTTTGAGTAACATGGAGACACAGCAGACAAACAACCACGAACAGTGGAGCCGGCGCACGTATTGCCACGATTGCAGATGGGAAAAAAAAAAAAAGTAAAAATTTTGAGATTAATCTCAGAAACTTCCATGTTTGTTCTAGAAAAAACTTTTTTCTACTTTCTTTCCATGTATAAAATAGAAAATGTTAGTGAGGCAGTGGTCCACTATATGCAGGTAGGATAAGTTGGGGAAACGGACCGTCGTGTTTTTGGACTTTTGAATCTGGAGTGAACAGGAAAAACTGCATGCAGAAAGACCCCATGCTGGGATTCCAACCCTTGTGCTGCACTACTGTGCCTCCCAAGTTATACAGCATCTACAATAAATATAAAAATAAATATAAACAATTTTATCTTAAGGCATGCATTACATAATGCAAACTATTTGTACATTCAAATAAATATCCTGGAGCCATAAATCATAAAATTTCCATCTATTTCCTTTACCTATGTGCGGATCCCACAGCAGAGACCCGTCCACTCAGATGAATCTCCAGAGGAAGGACAGCTGGAGGTCGTCTGTCATTGGACAGGTTGGTGCTTTCCACGTCAAGGTGCTCTTGGACAAAACACTGAACTCCACTCTAACTCTGATTTGTTCACCGGCCTGTGAATTTGTGAAGGAGAAGCGGCCCTGAACGGGTTATGCAGAGCAGCAGCAGCAGTCAGGAGACATGTCTATTGGTTTTGTTCTTCTACACCACATGCAAATTATCGAGTAACTGATTCTACAACTATTTTTGTTGCTTATTAAATGGACGTGAGGAGAAGAATATATATCTTTGGAACTTTGACATTTTTTTTGGTTCATGTTAAAAACACTAATTTCAATGTATTTAATTTGGATTGTAACAGTTCACTATTGTGAAGTAAAACAAAAGGGATAGCTGTTTTTCAACATTAAGAAAAAAATTCTGAAAAATGTTTCATACATTTTATTAATCTCTCTTTACTCCGATACCCGTAAATAAAATCCAGTCTGAATCAATAGAATTTTCCTAATTTTAGATGATAAATAGAGTTAATCTCTATCAGCTCAGTAGAAATAATGTGGACAACTACTAGATCTACACACATTTTGGGGCTGAATATAAACGCATGCCACACTTTTCAGATTTCTATTTTAAAAATGCAACGCAAGTCTGTTGAAGCAAAATGACTAAATAAACACAAGAATCTTGAAAGAACCGCAGAGCAGGAAGTGGACCAGAAGACGATGGGCCAGGCTGACGGTGAGAAAGGCTGTTCACAGGAACCAAACGTGGACGGACAGAACCACTGAGCCATTACTAGCCGTCTTTTTTCACCACGCGATAGATAATCGCCTTGACGACATAACAGGGGGGATGTAGTTTCAACGAGAGGAGAATAACATCTCCTAAGGACTCCAGATCAAACGGCGGAGATGTACGCTGGGCCTGATTTGGGTTGAATACAGAGATCCACGCCGGCTGCCATTCAGCCTTTGTCTGTTTGTTCCAACAGATCAGAGGAAGGAAGAAGGAAAACACAGAATACATTTCATCTTCAGATTGACCGTTTTGTCTCTCGCATATTGAGAGCTGTTATTAAAAGCGGCAGGTGATTATGTGGAAGAGTTTTTAATCAGCGGACGGACGCTGCGTTGTCGCCAAACACCGAGAACAACTGATGTGATGTGGACGTGTCTTGCAGACGATGAGACGGATCAGCGGACGTCCAGAGCCGCCAAATGTTGCCGGCTGCTGGTCTGATATGAGACACCGGGCGTCAGTCCAAGCACCATGCTAACTACTTACTTCACCAACAACTCATCCTAACTTTAATTAACTGCA